GGAGGCACTTTCAGTATCTATCTATCTATCTATCTATCTATCTATCTATCTATCTATCTATCTATCTATCTATCTATCTATCTATCTATCTGTCTGTCTGTCTGTCTGTCTGTCTGTCTGTCTGTCTGTCTGTCTGTCTGTCTGTCTGTCTGTCTGTCTGTCTGTCTGTCTGTCTGTCTGTCTGTCTGTCTGTCTGTCTGTCTGTCTGTCTGTCTGTGTGAATGGGTGCTTTTGTTGCCATCCCCTTAAATTGTGGTGAAATAAAATTAGTGTGGGAGGATAAGAGAATTCGACGAATGTGACTCGGTGGTCATGACATGGATGATGCCCCAATCTTGTCAAATTCGTCGTCAGCCGTTTCCCCCAAACGTGTGACACATACTAGCAGCACTTCCCAGCTTATCGCTTCTGATGTTGTTTATACTCATTTTCCTGTTGACATCGTTGCGCAAGTGCAAACGACTGGTTCTGTAGATATTAGCAGCTGTTAAAAATATGTCTGTGCACACGAAATTAGTACACGTATTTAGCGCCATTTCATAGCTTGTCGCTCAATTGAAAAAAAAAATTATAACACGATCAGCTTCCTTCCGCATGCTTCGCATAACATCGAATCGCAAGGTACTACGGGAGATCTTACGAGTTTGTTTTTTTTACACATAAAGATAAAGAAATGCATATTTGGGGAGTTCTTCTACAACTGCAACTGTAATCATCGCTTATGACGCTCGTTTTCTGAACATAATATCCGTGGTCTTGCCCACAAATGGTGGGCGCGCTATCAGCGTGACACAGCATTACCGATAGGAAAGCGACCAACCCACAATTTTTTTCCCGACAAAAATGCAATCAAGCGAAGTGCGAGTTGTTGTGGCGCGTAAGAAACGCTCCTCAAGTACGCTATAGTGGGCCCTTCTTAATAGCCAAGCTGCCTAGCAAAACGGTCATCTCTGATTCGATCCAGAAAACTATCATTGCCATTGACGGGTGTGTGCCACATTATTTAGTGAAATCTCCTATTCACCAATGGCCCGCTAAAGGTGCAGGAGGAAACACCCCAACATATGGCTGCGAGGAAGACGTCGGGTGCATAGTAAGTAACAACGAAATAATACTGTAGAAAACGGGGAAGCCAACAAAAGCTTCGAGAAGACGACAAAGCCACGAATGGTATACGTTCAACGACAACGCTCTCGTAAATCTATGGAGGTGTGAACTCTAGCTTCTAGCGCACGTTTAATAGATTGAAATAACTGTGTCATTTCTGTGATTGTGCCTGGTTCAACTCTAATCACTCTGCACTCAGTATAAACGTAGCAGCAACCTAGCTTCACCTATAGCCAGGGCTTAAAGACAGGGGGGCGGGGCGGCTCGGCCCCGTTCTATTTGTTGAGGGGCTTGGCCCCATACTGGCAAATGAACAGTAGCACTGCAGCACCCATTCGACAAGCACTGGAGTTGACTTCTATGTGTTACCGCTCTATGACGCCCCCACCCCTCACTTTTCAATGGAGGAATAACATTTGACGAGAACCAGCGCATTCAGCATGGTGTGGCCGATGGCGATGGAGCAATTGAAGATGTGCACCTAGCTAAAGCCTAACAACAATATAGAAGCAACCTAAAACCGGCATCGTCCAGCAAAGGCCTATAAAAACAAACCATATTAGTCTTAGGATCGTCCGGTTTCGTTGCTTCAAGCCTTGTGTGGTTCAGTGCAAGGTTCGCCCATTTTCTTTCCTTAAACTGGTCAATTTTTAATATGTTACTATGCACCCAAGTGCAGCAGTTTAGAGAGTATATCTAGATTTGTGGGGTTTAACGTCCCAAAACCACCATATGATCATGAGAGACGCCGTAGTGGAGGGCTCCGGAAATTTTGACCACCTGGGGTTCTTTAACGTGCACCCAAATCTGAGTACACGGGCCTACAACATTTCCGATCGGAAATGCGGCCACCACAGCCGGGATTTGAACCCGCGACCTGCGGGTCAGCAGCCGAGTACCTTAGCCACTAGACCACCGCGGCGGGGCTAGGGAGTATATCTAGGGAAGAAAGTAAGTTCAAGGCGGAAGAATAAACGAGGATATTTAAAACTAACTTACGCATCATATATTCAACGGCATATATCTCTTGCTGAAAATCAGTTTGAATGCATTAAAAGGCATCTCCACACAAACACAATACCGTCTCACGAAGGATGCATATTGCAGGTATCTTCTATAGCCCAGCTTCTCCCAACGCTAAATCGCATATGCGCAGCACTTTCGGCGAAAAGTAAGACGCGTATAAAACGAGGTTATCACACTTCGTTGTTTTTCCTAGTTCTTTCTATTGCCACAGCGGGAATGAGTGTCGTTAATAACCTCAGATCTTATCTTTCCCACAGAAATAAAATAAAAAGAGAGAAAAAAGAGGTCACTTCTTGCCGACAGCGGTGTCGATTCAACAAAGGGAACGAAGATAAAGTGCAAGGAACTCGGTGAAGGGGTATACACACGGACAATCCCAAACCGCGGGCATGTTTTGCGTTCGAAGTAAAGCAAACAAACGTTCCCGCAAGTGTACACGACATAACCACGCGTTGATCAATGGTCATAGCTGCGGGGCTCTCGGATCGAAACGGTGGCCATTTTACCGCGCATATAAGCGATGAGTGCCTCGCGTTCTCCATCAATTTTCGATCGCTTTTCGGCGCCACGTACCTCGGGCTTTTTCGAGACTGTATCCAGAAAATCCAGTTTCATTACGTTGTATGGTATATAGCGAGAAAGAAACCAAGCCGTGTCCGCTCCGTCCCTGTAAGTTTGACAGCTCGCATGAGTCTTCGTTGTATGAGTTCGTATAGTTGTACTTGGGCCAAGCTGTGGCTTCGAACTGTTTCGATTGGCCTTCGTTTAAGGAAAAAAAAAGACAGCCTCGTCCTAGTGGCGCCAAGCCTGCAGGAAGTTCCCAGCTTGGAAGCCGTCTTTGTTTCTCTTCGGTTTTCTCTTTGTCTCCCTCGATTTCTTTCTATCTTTTCCTCTTTTGTTGGTTTCTCTTTTTATGTATGTTTCTCTCGCATTTTTCGTTCTTTCTCCCCTCTCTTTATACTTCTCGCTTGCTTTCTTTTTGAGTTATTAAACATGGTTTGTGCGTCCATGGTTCTCTAACAATAGTAGTAACTTCAGCGCTTAATATCACCATTAGGCCGCTCGAAGTGCAAGAGAAGGACGACTTCTCTTTGGCACTACCACGTGCACGAAATTTCATAACTGGCTATGATATATGTGGCTTTTGCCTGTGTTACGCCAAGCGAAAACGACAGCGTATAAGATCGTCACGTGTGACAAAAGTAAGACAACGGACGAACGCCATGGCCCCCTGAAGCACTTCGCACCCGAACGTATAGCGTGATGCCCATTTCACAGCGTCGTTTGCCCAAAAACAAGAATGGTGGAATGGTTGGAGTAGGTCGCGCGGTGCTATTTCATAGTGAATACATCGTTGGTGACGAACAATGATTACGACTTAAAACACACAGAGAACGTTTCGAAGCCAACAACCAGTTACACAAAGGAAATCGCCAACATTATTTGTTGTTTTAACTGTTTTGATGATTATCACGTATACATTGAAAGGTATACCAGTGGACAAAAAAAAGCGCCCTTCTTTGACGGTGGCATCGAAAGCCATACCTTCGAAGTACAGCTGTCCTGCTTTTAAATCGACAATGATTCCTTTCAGTTGAGGTCAGTCATAACACTGAGGCTAAAGCAAGGAGTAATGGCCATTCTGCTTCCCTTGGCGTAAATTTGTTAGTTTCGCTTGTTGTGTCTAACAATGAAATAAGCCCCTTGCGATTCCTATTTTGTGCAAAAAATATTTTGTAGCTGGTCAAAAAAAGGTGGAATTGCGGGGGAAGATGGAAGCATCAGAAGACAAAAAATGTGTTACCATGGGGTGTCGCTGAAGCCAACGTTTCGGCAAGCGGACTCACCTTCAAACCTTCAACCACTGCAAAACCCAGTGTTCACGAACTTTTCATTTTGTAGCCTGTGTGACATTGCGTAGCCAATGACTGCGTCTTGAACAATGGCTTATACGGTGAGCATACGGAAGTTGTGTGAATAAAAAATCATGACATTCATGACATACATATCATAATTTCCATGTTATGAACAGTCAAATATGTTCTTCATACAGTCATGTTATGCCATAGCAAGTTTGCTATCGATACCATTATCAAGACGGCCAGGAGAGCTAAAAGTCGTAGGCGGATAGATAGATAGATAGATAGATAGATAGATAGATAGATAGATAGATAGATAGATAGATAGATAGATAGATAGATAGATAGATAGATAGATAGATAGATAGATAGATAGATAGATAGATAGATAGATAGATAGATAGATAGATAGATAGATAGATAGATAGATAGATAGATAGATAGATAGATACGCTCAAAGTCGCCGAAGTTCGCTAAAAAAAGGTTCGCATTTAAAAGTGATAAAAACTACTTGAGTCAACCGTAACGTCTTGCAAATTAATTTTATGATGTCAAATATGCCTGCAGTTTCTGGTACTGTGGTAAACGGCTTATTTGTTGGCACAATAACCACAGCCAGTTATTTCGTGAGTTCCTCTATTGCTGCTTGCTTTGCTGCCATTGAGAGAAAAAATTATGTCATGGCTAGTTCAGTTGCAGCCACTCTTTGATCAGATGAAAGGCTGCGATCAACGGTCGACGCAGCACCACAATAACTTTCAAAACAGCTTCGAGAAATTTACACCATTCATAAGGGTTGCCTCCTCCTTGCACCCTGCACATATATGTCATGCATCGAAAAAAACTTACAAACATTAAAAAAAACAGATGAAAAGGCAGATTCTTTTTCTCCGCTTCCTGTAGTCTTCTGCAAGCTTTGCACAATCGGACATCTCGTTCAAGGACGCCAGCCATGCAGGAAGCATTCATACACCGCAACCGGCTGTGACACAATCTGTATGGACTTACCCCAAACCATGAAGTACGACCCTCCTTTTTTGGCTGAGTCTATTCCCTCTTGCGTCCGGTGTGCGTGAATGTCGACAGAGAGCCGATGAAATGATGTGGCGTGAATGTCAGCGATCGACACTCCCACAAAGTGGTTGCCACAAGCGCGCGAAAAAGAAAGCAGCAACTGTCAGTCGAAAGGTACTCGAACCGACGGCGCCCGTCGACGATGTGAAGTCGTGCAGATGTCCGTCACGTCATCCTCCGGTACGACGCGCGAAGGAAAAGAAAAATAAGCCACTTCGACAGCTGCGCGGCACCGCACACACACACACGCACGTGCACTTTCAAAAGCAGGCCACACTAAGGAATGAAATAAAAACAAAACGAGCGCACCAAAACTCGTCGTCAATTCCGGAACGTCGAAGTCAGGGACAGTGCCGCCAACACCGCTGCAGTCGTCGGCGTTCCGCGAATTCCAGGTAGACGGGTAACCTGGACCTTGGACGGGTCACTTTTCGCTTCATCGCGCAAGTCGCCGCGGATCAGAGCCTTTGGTGGTGATATTTAAAATAAAGAGAAATGAGTGGTGTTGACGTTCCTTGAATGTCGTTGGCCTCGGCTTCACAGAAGGAGCTGCTCAGCGAAGATGTCCCATGTCCCGAGCGCTGTTGAGTCGATCTCACCTGCTGAGACAGCCGACAAGGATGGACGGGGTGCCAAGAAGGACAGCTCTGAGCACGGTTCGCTCGGTGAGGCTCACGACAACGAGTTAGTTTAGTCGCCAATGCCGAACCATCTCGACACACCACCACGCAGCCAGTCAGGCTGGCTGTGTGCCTCGAGGAAACAAAATAAACGCTCTGAGAGACCGGTGCTGGTGTGCAGCGAGCGCCGGGCCGCGGCGGCTGTGGTGGTAGTGGTGGTGGTGTTGGCGGCGGCGGTCGGACCCCCCCAGCCTACCTCCCTCATTCATAGCGGGCCGCCCTCTCTCTCCACGCGCGACGCGGCTGATCAATCAGCGCCCGCGCGACCGCTGACGTCGCACCTCGCGCACCCTCTCATTGGTCCCCGCGGGGTCGCCAAAGGTGCGCGCGGAGTACTTTTCGGACGCACCGTTCTTTTTTTTTTTTTTCCTCCTTTGCTCGGTTGTTACCGGAAAGTTTTCATTTTCGCACCCAAAAAGTTTTGACACTGTAGCGCCCGCTTGCGTCTTAGGTTCTTTCGGAAAGGCAGGCCTCGGCTTCGTGTGACCCGTTCCATCATCCATAGTAGTTACACTGAATATTTCATAGAAAATGCCGAATAGTATTTTCTTAATGAAGAGAATTTCTTTGAAAGTTTGTATTTTTAAAGGTTAAAGTTAGATGTCAATCATATGTTAGACTAAAAATTATGTTTTGTAGGGTTCTTCCTGAAGAAAAAAAAAGTGAACTGCAAAGCAAAGAATGGTGACACCGTGAAAAACATAAACACGATACCATTGGGGAAGGTTTACTGGAATACAACTGTAAGAGGGTTTTAGTCGTAGAGGGAGAATTTAAAACACACATGCACTAAAATACTCAAATTAAGGGTTCGTCGCGTCTCAGGGCATCTAGAATTATTGCGTTTCAGAACGTCGTCGCTAAAGCGTGTTATCAGTGTTGTCCAACCACAGAACAAATGCCTGTGCATACGGAGAACGTGAATGGCCCTCTTGGTGAGCATAATGTACGGTTACGCTTTCAGGTTCTCTCCCACGACTATTTTATGCTTACCAGGTTGCGCAGTAAGTTTTGTGTGCTTTCTGGTGTTCTGCACTCATGGTCTTATGCTTGAAAGTTCGAATGCATGCAGGTTAATCACAGAATGAGGAATCATTCAAGGAAACGTTAACGGAAATCTTATTGGCCCTCTTGTTGCTTCAGGTGGTGGATATGTAAAATTAAAATAAAAAAATATTCAACCAGCTTCACTTCGCGGACAGCGGTGAAACAGTGACCCTGGTATTGTTCCCTCGTTGACGCTAACGCATCTCTGTTTTACAGTGAAAGCTGTTACGAGATCATAACTCAGGTCACGCGCAGTTGTCCGCCGCCACCGGTGTCCGTAACCACATCCCGCAAAATCAGAAAAAAAAAACTAGCACTAAAGACACAGTCGGGCTCTAACCTGGGTCCGCTGGGTGCCAGCCCAGTATTCTACCAGTGAGCTACGCCGGTGCTTGTCACTTGCTAGCAAACTTGCCTTAGGCAGGCTTGTTGTCGGGAAAGCAATCGCAATAATACGACTTATAAAGTGCTTTACAACAGCGAAAGAACAACCAGTCGTCGCACAATGCGAATAGCATAACAAGTGGGCCGTCCAATGCTCCAACACATTACAAAAGCTTGTTTTTGTTCCCCTAATAACTTTCGCGCTTAGCCACTTCAGCCATAACTTCTCATCGTCGTCCGCCACTGCATGAACAATTGGCATGAAATTCCTTGCAAGCGTCTAGCGGATACCACGCTTCTCAGAAGAATGACGAAAAATAGCAAAGCGAATGGCGGCCTACTACCCAAAAATTAATTACTAATGCCCTAGTGGGATGTCAAGCAAATGTGCTTGCAGTAGAACCTAACGAGTGTTTTGGAAAGGCTCTAAAAGGCCGCTCTTATAGCTTAGGCTGTGACTGTGCTGCGCCTTCCTCCAGGCCTGGTGTTTTTTCAATTCTTTCAGATATGTTGTGGCACTATTTTTATTATTTATTCATTTATTTACATAGTTTCTGTTGACTTCAAAATAAAGCCATAATCAGGAGTGGGTAACATAAATATAGCACAGCCCCGCCGCATTGGTCTAGTGGCTAAGGTACTCGGCTGCTGACCCGCAGGTTGCGGGATCAAATCCCAGCTGCGGCGACTGCATTTCCAATGGAGGCGGAAATGTTGTAGTCCCGTGTGCTCAGATTCGGGTTCAGGTTAAAGAACCTCAGGTGGTCGAAATTTCCGGAGCCCTCCACTACGACGTCTCTCATAATCGTATGGTGATTTTGGGACGTTAAACCCCACATATCAATCATCAATTAGAAATATAGCACACTGAACATTTTCACAGTATATTACGCGCAGAAAATCCCGTGGACACACAGTGTCGAATGCCATAAAAAAAGGAAAATATACAGAGCATGGCATGCAATTACACATAGCATATTACCTATATATGCGTACTATGTGTGCTAACGACGCATAAAAGCAAGCAAAGAAAAAACAAAAAAGCGTGACAATTTCACAAAACGGAGTATGAATATGGCAGGTAGACATGCTATAAGTTCTTTGGCTCCGATAAGAATGACTGTCGCCACCCCCACAACTCCACCAGGAAGGCGATTCCACTCGCGTACAGTTTGGGGTAATCAAGAGCCCATGTACGAGTTGGTTCCGCAAGGTAATTTCTGTAATTTTTTAATGATCCACCCACGTGAGTCGTCGCATGACTTTTTCAATGTACGCACTTGAATCGATGCCAAGCTTATCGTGATAAAGCAGGTTCATATATTTTAATATTTTGTGATATCGCCGTCAATCTAAGGCTTCCAAGTTCGCTCTCTGAAGCAAATCACTGACTGACGTAAGGCGATTGTACGAGCGAAAGATAAATCAAGCAGATTTTTTCGTAGGTTTTTCAGTTTATCAACATTTTTTTAATAGTTCCCAGACCACGCATTTTTTATTGCGTTCGACACTGTGTGTTCACGGGATTTTCTGTGCGTAATATACTGTGAAAATGTTCAGTGTGCTATATTTCTAATTGATGATTGATATGTGGGGTCTAACGTCCCGAAACCACCATAAGATTATGAGAGACGCCGTAGTGGAGGGCTCCGGAAATTTCGACCACCTGATGTTCTTTAACATGCACCAAAATCTGAGCCCACGGGCCTACAGCATTTTCGTCTCCATCGAAAATGCTGCCGCCGCAGCCGGGATTAGATCCCGCGACCTGCGGGTCAGCAGCCGAGTACCTTAGCCACTAGACCACCGCGGTGGGCGACGCTTGAAATCATGTGATGATACCTTGGCGATGACAAGTGTTCTCTGTAAAGAGCGGTAGCTTCATACAGTGACGCATATTGTTCAACGACTAGACATCATTGTATTTTGGATGTACACTATTTATTTGAATATGTAGGCGATACCCCATCGAACAAAGAGACGACCTTGCTCAAGTTACTTGCCTGAGTCAGGAAGTGTCAGGAAGTGTGGAAAATCGGTAAGGATAATTTTAATACTGTATTTGTGAAAAGTGTTTAACGATATCGAGTACTAACTACTCAACTATGGGAGAGCAGTGGGCCATCCCTAAGAAAAGAGAGATTCCATATTAGCACGCCTGATTAAGTAATAGACAAATCAACCTAAAGTTAGAAAGTGTAACGTAGAAACATTCAAAAGCCACTGCGGCATTGTTTTTGATGATGACCTATAAGCTTGCACTTGGGAAAGGTACCGAGAACGTCCAACACATGGGGCCTCTTTTGCGTCACCCGAATATGCGGGCCACCCCATGCATACCCGGGCCTAATTTCAGTTATCTCAAAACAATCTTCTTTAAATCAAATATCGTGACCAAGTTTGTTTATTCAGGTTCAGGACAGGACTGAGCCGGTGAATTACGATTTCTTTGTTAGTACATGAACTTCGTAAGATCACGTTTTGTTACGTAAACTTTTAACTGCACGCAAGGCAGCTAAGTTAATTTTCCTTTACCGATAGTCTGTGTGTCCATAATTAAAGGGCAGGCCTTACTTTTATTACACATTAGACAGTCGAACATATTTTGACACAGCGCCCGACTACGAGGACGCAAGAAAAGAATCGACAAACCGCAGTGCTTCTTCTCTTGTCCCCTCGTAGTCGTGCACTCTGTTAAAATATGTTCGAGCACTATCACCAACTAGCCCAGATTTCAGTCCTTCCTTTTGTAAGATAGTCGAGGCTACCGGACCATCTTCGCCTCATAAAACAGCAGTATTCCAAGCGTATTCGCGCAATTCGCCCATTCCCGCAGACGTTTCTCTGAGTTACCGGTTGATTACGCTAAGCTTAGCTTCCTGTGCACCTGTCGTTGCGCAACAAAATCCTCAAACTCCCACCGAAAGAATGCTTGCGCGCATATCCTTACACGGCTTGTACGAGCTTCAGCGCGCAGACCCGTCCTTCGTGTACGTTTTGCGTAGTTTGTTTACAGAGACCGTTTCCGCTACGGACTCGGCAGAGAAGGCGTTACACAGGCCTATGGCTGCTCTCGGATGATTTAGGCCCGCTTCGTGCGTGCGCTTCGTCCGACACAACTCGCCGGCGTTATCTTATTGGCCCGCCGAAGGCGTGCTCAAAGCGAAGCCGCCGCGCACCTCGCCGGCACTGCGCGTCATGTCCCGATCCCGACTCGGTCTCCCTCCCTCCCTCGTCTCGCCCTCTCGCTCTCTTTCCAGTTCACGACCAAATTAGTGTTCGCTCGCCTCCCGCGCGCGACAGTGCATTCGCAAAGTTCACCGCGTCTGCATGCCCGGGAGACTGTTTTCTTTTCTGCATCTTGATTCCTTCATTTTCGTCGTCTGTCTTCTATCTATTATCATTAATTTTGCTACTGAGAGCTTTGTCTTGAAGTTCGTGACTCGCCTCTAGACGGAGGTGTGCGTTCGGCCGTGCAGAGGCTTGGTGGGAACCTTCTTTTTAATGAAGCGTATGCGGGGTAGCGATCACTCGTGGTCGCGTTTTTATCGCGTATATACGCCTAAGGTGCGTACGAAACCTACCTTTGTACCTTGACTTTAGATCCCTTCCTAAATAAGGCGATACTTTTGCGGCGCCACTTGAGGAATATGCGACAGACGGTGCATTTGGGGACGCATCGCGAAATAGTCCACGTACTATTGT